CCAGGACCCAAATGCTGCAGCTCTTCTGGCAGGAGTTTTTAAGGCTCAGACCACGCTTCTAYTGACACGGCTCATTTCACTCACAGAGGTGGTTGGTATTTTGTCACCTTGCTTCTTGCAGATACAGCTCAGCTCTTTCGTGCCCTAAGGAAAATATAGCCATATCCCAAGGTTGAGTGATGAGCCTGCTGAAAAACTGGATGGAAAAATTAGGTTTATTGCATTTTTTTTTTTTATCCAAAGTGCAACTTTTTTCTTCACTTGTGGTTTCTTCAAGGCTTTTAGAATTGGGTAGATGTCTCAGAAGGATTTTGCAAAGAAATGTTTCGTTTTGAAGTGTCAAAGAAAAAATTTGAAAATTTTAGGGGATCCTAGRGTGCGGGTGTTTGGGGTCAGTTTGGAACACCAATGAGCAGTAGATTTAGGTTGGAAAATGTCACCAAGATTTTACCTCAGTTATGGGATGACGACAAAGGAAAAAACATAACGGAAGAAGGATAAAAAAATCCTTTCCTCACAACATACAGCAATAAGAAATGAGAAACTTCTGACAGGTGYAAGAGTCCCGATGCTTTCAGAGGGATTTTTATCGTGTGGAAAGCCAGTGTCTTAGGCAAATAAAGGCCTGACACTTCCCCCAATCACTGTTCTGATTTGCATGGCTGATAAAGAAGCATCAGAACATGGTAGCAAAGGCTGTGATTGTCATTCCCTGAGCTGCCTATGCTGAGGCGTGGTGCTACTTTTGCAGGTTCAATGTCCAAGTGATTCTTGTGGATCCCTCTGGCCTGGCTAGAAGGGTGGCTGCTCCCTCTCTGGGGGCTGGTGTGGGATGGGAGATGCTTTTGAAKGGATATGTCCCTGCCTGGAGAGCCAGAGGATGGTCCCAGTAATGTCTGGCTCCATGTTGAGCCTTAGCCTGGGGTGTTGCTGGCCCCTGGAGCAGGGTAATGCTTGGGACACACAGATAAGGTGGCAGTGTGCTTCAGAGGAACTGGTTTCCTGTCCCTGGGTGACAAGGAAATGTACTCAGCACATGTCAGCCATATCTGGTGAGCGGCCACCCTTGTTTGCTGTACCCGTTCTGTTCCCTTGCCACTCTGTTTTGATAGGAAATCTGTTTGGGAACAGAGATTCTATTGATTTCATTTGTCTTCTCACTGCAGTAATCTGGACACCATGGACTCACGTGAATATAAAGAGTGAGGTGTCTAATTTGCTGAGTCCCTAATGCAGGGAGTCAGATGGAAATGGGTTGTTAGCCATTACACATCACAGAGCAGAGGTGTCACTCACTGTGAATCTCATCCTAATAAGTGAGCTGGCAGCTCTCCCCACAAATTCTGCATCAAGAGTGAATTGCAGTAATCCCATGTTAAGGTGACACAGGTGTAGATTCATTTCCAAAACTGCCAATCCCTCTGGACTCCTTGTTTTTAATTATTTTTTTTTCCCACTGATGTCAGTACAGCAGCAGATTTAAATGCTGGTACTGCACTGATTAAAATTGTATTCCCAAAATAACTTTGTCCTYTGGTATCATTCTGTGGGATGCTTTTGTTTCTTTTTGAATTGCTAGATTTTCAATGTGAAATCTGAAGCWGAAATTGGATAGGAAAGTTTCCAAATAACTTTAATCCAACACAGGTATGTACTGCCTGTCCTTGGACAKCCCATTTTAAATGGAAATAGGTACAACCAGTAGTAAGAGAAGCAATTTTTTTTTCATAAGGGAGTTGCTGAAGGAGCTGGGGGGTGTCTCCTGTATCTTCCCCCTCTTAGCAGGTGACTCTTTTTTACCCATATGAAAGATTTTGCAGGATTTTTCTGTGCAYCAGCTGTGGCAAGTTGACCACAGTGTCATTGTTAGTGACCAGTGACTTTCATTTGCTTCTGGTGAAAATCTTGTGCTGTGCTGAGAATATAAAACACAACATGTTCCCTGCYCTCACCTATCAATTTATTGCCCATTCCTCATGTTCCCCTGGTGTTTGCCTGCTCCCAGGTGCACCCAGCCTGAGTGACCACCTTGCYTACAGCGTCCTCTTCTCACTCATCTTGCACCTCTGGACTGTTTTTCTCTTATTTGTCTGCCTCCCTCTTTTGAGGAAGGTACGAAAGGCAGCACCAGGTAGCACCTAATACTGATTTCCATAATCTCATCTTTAATAGTCCTAAGGCTGTTAATGGTTCACTCTAATGATTATGGATATTTATAAGAGTTGATTCCTGTAGGACATGACAAAATCCTGTTTCCTCAMCTCCACCTATAATCTAAATTTTCTATTTGGTAACATGTTTTAGCTAATTCAGCTTCTTTCCTCRGTAGGGAGAGCAAGAAGGTGACACTTGCTCCTTGCTGTGATGGAACTGCCTTGGGTCTTCAGTGAGGGGTTTCTTACCATGGAAATGAGCCTTTCATGGCACTTTGTCTGAAGTTAGCATGACTGCTTACCTGTGTTTCTCTTCATGATTTTGTTATACTTATTTCCATGGCTTGCTGTCTTATTTGCAAGTTGTATGCCCCTGAAAACAAAGATCCCCACATCTTTTCATTAAGGGACTTCTACCAAATTTTTCACTGTGTGACCATCATGCTTTGATTTGAAATGAGCAAAATGAGTGGTACAATGCTGTGGATCAACCACAGGTTTGACATGACTTCACAGAGAATTTGGACACTTTTCACTGTGGTTGGGGAATATTGGCWAAAAGCATTAAACAGAGCTGAATGAACTCTTTGCACTTTTGGCAATACCATTTCTTCTTTCTGGCATGATCAGGAGCTGCCATCTGTTCTGTCTGATGCTGTTTTCTGCCAGGAACCTTGGATGCTTACCTCTGGCTGGATGWGCTCTTTGCATTCAAAGTCCAAAGAACAGGCTGACCTAGAGGCTTGCACTTCAACCAAATAAAAGTATTTCAGGGGAGGAACAGAAAAAACCCAAACTTGGGTTTTTTAAAAGTACATGGAAATTTTTCTCCATAATTCTTTCTCTGCTTTCTTAAAAATTCTATTTCCATTCTCTTTACTATACTTTCTCTATACTATTTCCCTTCTATTTACTTTTCTCTTTAATGGAGAAAAGTAAAAGAGGAAGGAGGAACGATCTGAATAATAAAAAGTGGTAATTTTACACTTTTTTTTTGAGGAGGGGAATGAGATACTGGAAAACCTACATCAAGTTTCTGCCATGATTTGTTTTTATTTTTGAAAAGTGCAATTTCTCAGTGAGAAATTTGTGACTCCCCTTCTTTTGAACAAGTAAGTACTACTGAGAGCTATATTTAGAAAATGTTTCATGTATTTCCAAGATAAAAAACCCCATATTTGTTTGCAATAGAGAGCACCTGATCAGACCATGTATGCCTGACAGCTCCTTATAAATTAGAGGCCAATGCTCACCTCTGGCTGTGCTGGTCTAACAGCACAAATCCTACTCTTTCCATCACGAGAGGAGAGTTTATAAGAGACATTGCAGAGGGCAGGAGGCACCTGTGTTTCTCATCGACACATTAGCTACATAAAACTAAAAAATAGGGAATAATTTTAGAAGAAAATTATTTTTCAAAGAGAGACAATACTTATATCTTAGATCAGAGACTTATATGTGTATGCATCTTCTAAATGAGGGCTTTTTTAGCTAGGGCTAATGGATTTGTCTGACTGGCAGACCCACCAGTACGAGAAAAAGAGAACCCTTGGCATGACAGTTGGCATGAGAACGGTGATTTTGGGGGATGGCTTTTCCTAGGAATAGATTTTATACACATATGAGCTTTAAAAGAAAGGTGGGATCAGCGGGGTTTACCCAAGTGCTCAGTTATTTAAACTCTGAGTGGGTTTATATCCATCTTTATATCCTTCACATGTTGGAAATCTGACCTTGAAGCATCCAATGTATCYTTGTGGGCACATTTCAGGAGCCCAAAGGACAATGAGGGGTGGATAAAGAGRAGTTACAGTGGTGTGGGGCTCCTGCTGGTACAAAGAGACTACGTCAATAATGCCAGTGAGGATTAGTGTCTGTCTGCAGGTGTGCCTTCAAATATATATCAGAGGAGAAGCTGAGAATGATGACGCCTTTGTTACAGAGCAGGAAAATACTGACTCTGAGCATTGTTTTCCAACTGATTTCTCTGACCATTATAATTCTTTGCTTTTGTGGCTGCTCCTGTAGATCAACTAGGCAGATTTCCAGGAAGGTATAACCCACCACAGCACAAAGTTGGAGGACTACAGAAAAAATTATCCCGAAGTCCTGAGCAGGTTGTGGGGACATAGAATTTGYATTTGGGGTGAAACACATCTGAGAYAGCCTCRGTGGGAACATGGGACCTCAGCATTGTCCTCATTGCAAGGAAGTGCAGTATGAGTAGTTATCACAGTGGGTGGAATAAAGGTATTGTCCACAGCACGCCAGTTCCCTGATCTTTTTGCACTCACTTCACAATGAAGTGAAGCTCCAGGTATGTGCATTTATTGTAATTTTTATTAACTATTATTGCTATTGCTATTATTATTCATGTACCTGTGCTCTGAAATGACTGCATGGCCCTACGTGAGCCTTAGGATGCAGAGACAGAAYGGATTATCTCCTAACTTTAATATGCCGCAGAAAATTCCAGTTTCTTTTCATTGTTTTACGTGTTTGTTTTTCTTAATACAGTGAAATTAAATGCAAGAATCTTGTAGCACAGCAATAAGGAAAAAAATTAATTGAGCAAAAGTCAGCAAATGCAGAATTATGGTTCCCCCAGCAACTGTAATGAAGGCAGAGAACACATATATACGCTGGTGTTCGAGTTAACACTGTGCACTGCCTGGAATACAAATCCTCCCTGTGTTCGTGGGGCTGAGTGATGATTACTGCGAGAACCATAACTTTACATTTCCTGACTTTTTGCAATTAAAATCGCAACCTGGATGACGCATTAGCATAGGCTTTGCATTTAATTTGCTGCTTTCTTTAGAATGTATGTGTGTGTTGATTATGTTTGAACATTTCTTACCTTTTAATATCATTTATCCTTTTGTAAGGGAAAAATCAGGGGAAAAGCCATTTACCACATTAGCTGCCTTCTTCTCACTGTCGGGGGTGGGGGGAGGCTGGAGGAGAGAAGGAGGGAAGAACAAAAGACTTGGTGCAAGCAGTGCAATTAATTGCATTTTTAGCTCTAAGAGACATTTGCTGATAAATGTAAATGTCTATCACTGCTTTTATGTTAATATTTGTACAGACTGGCCAATMCATACAGAGATGTGTCTCCTCCAGCTCTTTAACCCACGCACAGTTGAACTAAGCATCATTTACCTTACCATGACCTTGGAGTGGCAGAAGCAAGTCTGRCAAGGTCTTTGGTGGCCCCAGGCTCACAGATTTCTTCAGCCCATTGATGTTAAAGTCCAGAACTCAGGTCTGCAGTCCTTCTGACTGTGTGAAGTCCCAGTGACTTGAAAAGCTCAAACTTGGGAATGTATGAGAGCGYGTCTGCACTGCAGGACCTAACCAGACTCTTTCTGTGTCCTTTCTGTTTCTCCTCACTTAGCCACAGGGGAATTTAATGGATTTAAGGGTGCTTCATGCCCTAGCTAGCTGATATGCTGTTTGGTATGGCCAAAATCCCAGTGCTTTCAGTGGGGACAGTATTCCTCTTCACGATGGAAGATCAGACTGAAATCCACCAGTGCTAATGGGATTATAATGTTTTTCTTTCATTTTTATCTGTCTGGAAGGAAAGTCGTCTTCTTTCACTGGCTGCCTGAGCCCTGGAAGCACTGGCAAYCTTTTATGCAGAGCCCAGGGACCAAACTAGCCAAGTCTGTCCCTCGAGCTTGTCCCACATGCTGGCTCTGTAGAGAAGCTCATGCTCTTCACCATCACCCTGGCCAGGAGCAGTCACTTGTTCTGGGCTGATTTACAGCCTTCAGGCCTAATAAAGATCAGCAAGAAGGGAAGGATCAATGCAGCTGGCTCTGTTTATGCTGCAAGTTTTATTTTTTTTAAATTTGTTGTTAATATGTTGATGCTTACATAATTTTGTTCGACCTTTCTTTTTGTTCTTTTGCACTTTAACCTTTYGTGGCGGCTTCTTTTTTGCTTTGTGCTCAGCCATTTCATGATGGTGACTTAAGTCTATTCCCTTTGTTCTGAGCCTTGTGCTTTTATATCCCACTCCCCATAGAGCCATCAAATTTCTTTTAACCTAAAGGCCCTCTGCTTCCAAGGGTAAATCAGCCTTGTCTAAGCTCATTCACTTGAGCCCACCAAAGAGAGATTCCCCTCCCTTTCTGTCCATCCTCATATGAGCTCATGTCCATGTAAAGATGTCAGGCATCAAAGTTCAAAGAGAAAATAGCTTGGCACACGTTTCCCAGATGCTGTCAGACTGTTGCTTAGGCTCTGAAAGAATTAAATTRTGTGAGTACTCGTGTTGCTGTCAGAGGCCTGATGGTTTCTAAGAACAAACACTGTTATCTTTAAACCTACCTAGTATTCCTCAAAATCACAAAGTTTTACTTCATCATTCAATGTACCAAGAATCCAGGAAAATGTGAAAGGATACTACTATTAATTAATGATAGTGTGTGCAATGAATATGTACCAAAACATGTGAATCCAGCTTATCTCTATTAGAAGTTGCAGAATTTGGGAAAAAAGTGATGTGACCTAGAGCAATATAGCTTAAAGGACTAGAAAGAATGGCTTCTATGAAAGTAGTTTTTAGTCTTTTTATAGGTAAAAATTTTATATTTTACTTTGACATAGTGGATTTGGGAAAGCTTCACATGTCATTCCTAGGACAAATAGGAGACAGGCAGAATTCATTTTGTTAAAACGTTTGCTTCATCCCATTGGCAAACTGTGTTTTTTGTCAAACTCCTTTGTTCCTAACATGCACAAGCGACATTTCATCACATTTTTTTGTCAACAGAATGTAATTTTATTCCAATCATTCTGTCAACAAAGAGAAATACCATAAAATCACTTCGCTCACAAACATAAATTATATGTTCATTTTGTTTGTAGAAGAAATGGAAAAATCAAAACTTTTCCTGGGGAGACAATGAAGACTGATAGCATTGGTTCTGCGGACAAAATATTAGTGTTACGGKCAGCAGTTTGTGATTTTTAGGCTGGCTGGTGGGCAGAGCATGCACAAAATTCAAGGTGAARCAAAAAAGAAATGTGAATGTGTTTATTTCAGCCTTGATTCAGGGCACTGAGATGAAATCAATGGACTTTGGACCAGGCCTTTAAAGCCCCAGATGTGATGCAAGGCACTGTGTACACAGAAAGCTCAGAACTCATCAGAGGAGCTGTGTCTTTCTGGAGATGTCACGGAGGATATTCACCAGGGCCATTCACATGGCATGAGGCAGAGTATTTAGGTGGCAGAATGGAGTCCTGAGTTTGTCCTTTCATTTTACTTTCTGATGTTCTGATGTGTTCTTTTATTTCTTTCCTAAATAACCTCTTTCCTGCACTGCACAGCCAATGCATTAGAGTCAAGATACATCCTTTTAAAGTGGCTTTTTACAGAGTAGGGCCATTGCTCAAGAGCCTACATACTCCAGCACAATATGAGAAAAATCTCTGTGTATTTTAGAGTGATTGCCAGCCACTTTCCATTTCCCCCATTACAGCACATGAACAGCCTCTTCTTTTGTCTTCATCTTTCAGACCAATAGTCTAAACATRGCAAAATAGACATCACAAATAATTGTTGGATTTTGAGTGTTTAGCTCACAACTGATGACTGGTCAGAAGCGCCTCTGAGGAATACAGATTTCACTCTGATGTATTTGGGGAATGAACGTTCTTTTTAGCTACTAGCTTTGCAAAGAAAAGGCACCCAAATAAGATATATAAAAAAATAATGTTGTAAGATTGACTTCCTACACCACAAATRATCACTTGTGAAAAACCAGCACGAACAAAGGGTAATAAATATGTTCATCAGTCAAAGATGAAAGTATATATAATTTTGGGACAATTACAAGCAACCTGCACAGTTTTTTCCATTTGCTAAACTATTACAAATGGAGAACAAGGCTCAAAACCTGGACTGGACCGGGATTTGTGATCCTTGAGTTCATTTGTCAGCTCTGTCACTGGGTAACCTTAGGGAACTTGTTTAATCTTCCTACGTGCAAAGGTCACACCTACAAAAAAGAGGTTTATATTTCTCTAGTGCTTAATAGTTGTGTGAGGAATGTTGCAGAAAAAAACCCCAAGTTTTAAATTGAATGAATTACCATCTCCTTTTCAGTTTTTCATGCTCCAACACCTTCTCTTCCTTCCCTGTACACTTGTGCAGCCGCTTAAAGCTGATGGTGCTGATCTCAGAGAGTGGTTCCCCTTTTGCTTGTGACCAAGATCTGGATGATCTGCAGACTATTTTTTATCTGGCCTTCCCAATTTCTCAGCACATTCCCTTGAAGTGATCCAAAACCCTGCTGCCCAACCCTTMCCTGTGCTCACCCTGTGACGCAGTTTACTCAGGCTTCTATCTGAGCATCACCTCCCAGCCTCAAGGAGTGATCTTTTCTGATCTCCTTGGCTCAACTTATCAGCAGTGCCAAATGTGCTGTCAGCATGGTTTATTGGCTGGCCTATCTCCAGCACTTGCTTTTTCCTCTGCCTTCTCCTGTCCTGAGCCTGCACCTCCCAGCCTCATGGCTGGTACCCTGGAATGTCTTCCTGAGCTGCTTCCTCAGRTATCTCTTTGGCCTTTGACAATATCCATGGTTCAACTTTGAAAATATTGCATATTCCAGTTAATCTTCTAGAACCCTGCTTCTGCAGTCACACTGATTTCCAGGGAGCCTCCGTAACTCTCTTGTTTTTATATCTGGTATGGAGCAATGCATTGCACAGGAGAATAAAACTGTTCTTCGCTTATAGCTCTGTTTGGGGCTTTCTGTGCTAGAACAGTCTGTCCTTCATCCCAGCAGCCAGTGACTTCTGTGACTCTGAAAGCATCAGCACAAATATTCGCGCAGGGGTTTAATACTTTCTGCATAAGGATTTAAAAATGAATGGGAGGAAGAGACGAACAGTTAATTTCTAAATATTCCACAGTGCTGTAAAAAGCAACTGCTTGAGACACACCAGGGAGTTTTGCACCTTCTCAGGTCCTAGAAACAGCAGGTGAAGGCTATTTGAATCTTCCTAGTAAAACAAAATTTTTAAAAGTTTGGAAAAAACCCCTAACTCCTAGCATCTTGTCTTTGGAAAGTGTGTTATGGTTATGTATTAACATCAGAAAAAGGCCTTAAGTTAAATTAAATTTACTTACTATAAGTAAAATGGTACAGTAACTAGGTTCAAGCATGCAGACTCACAGTTCATTTTTATGAGTGTCCAATAAGATTATTTTCATGCAGCTCCTTAAACTGGCCCAGAAGGGTATTGCATGTCAGTTCATGGGCTTTTATCACTGAGAATGGTGTTTTAAAGTACAAATATACATTCAGTCTTCAGCTATGCTATATTATCTCCCTTCAGAAGTCAACTGGAAGTCAGAGAAGAGATAAATTAATAATTAC